TGGCACACACCCTGAGCTTGTGTGTGTGTGTGTGTGTGTGTGTGTGTGTGTGTGTGTGTGTGTGTGTGTGTGTGTGTGTGTGTGTGTGTGTGTGTGTGTGTGTGTGTGTGTGTGTGTGTTGGAAGTCATCCACATACTACAGCTGCTGCTGGGTTGAATCACCCCCATACCATAGAACAGCCAGACAAGCCATCGTCCAACAGAGAAGGATTTGGAGGATTTAAACTCTGTGAAGGCAGTGTACTCAAACACACATTCCCACACACATTAAACCTCACATACTCCAAAGAGAAAGAAAAAAAATCACACCTGCGAAGCAATTGAGGTGAAGGAAAGGGATTTTTCTTCTGTCCTCATACCTCCTTTAAAGCGGTCTATCTCGGCAAACCACATTTGTTTTATTAATTTAATGTCACATGAGGAGGAGGCCGTCAGGCGGCTGAGACAGAAACTCAGTTCCAAGAACTTTTTTTCTCTGTGTGCAAAGTACGGAGAGCACAAAGCATCATCGTGTAATAAAAAGGCATGGAAGGAGAAAGATAGTCATAGAGAGGAGGGGTGCTGGGGGATAAAAGGAGCTTTCCTACTCCGATTAAATTGCCCTTTAGATAAAAGTAAATCTAGTAAAAGGCTGCGTAGAAAAAACAGGGGAAATTATTAATGATTCTCTCCTCTAATGTGATTTTCAGCCATTATGTCAGAGATGAATAATAAAGATAATGGGGGGGGGAAATGTGTGTTTTCAGTGTGTTGGGATCTTAATCCCTTTAAAAGGAACTCTGCATGAACCATGCACAAGCCACTATCACCAACACATGTTTCTGTATCAGTTGGGAGTTGAGGACCCTCTTTTATTATGGACATGCTGTGAGGATCTGCAGTACTTCCTCCTTCTGTGTTTGTTTTGTCTGTTTGTCTGTGTGTCTGTCTCCCTGGATGGGCGTGGCTGTCCTACTTTCAATTCCCGCCAACTCACCTCCTCAGCTGCTGCTCATCTCACTGATTGCCACTACTCACCTGCTTAAAACCCTGGTTCCCATCCTCAGACTTCACCAGTTCTTCGTTTAATCTTCAGTGGTAAACTATCGTCCAGGCCTATTAGTGGTTTTCCTGATGACTTTTTGATGCTCCTTGTGAAAGGAAATTATTTCCTAATCCTGCTTGTTTTTCCTGTTCCAGATCCACATACTCCAGCCGCTCTACCTGCCACGTACAGCCTCCCCTCCTGGTCAGCCCAGCTCCACGCCTCCCCTCTATGTACTCATCGTCAACTCCTTGTCAGTGTCGTGGACAAAATAAAGCTTTTTTTTGACACTTCACCTCTGTCTCAGTTTTAGTGCTTGCATAGCGGGTTCTAATCTTCAGTTACTTATCGGGAAGCCTAACACATGCATTTTGATGGACAATATTTCAATTCTCAAAAAAGTTACACCCCTACCCCGGCACTAACACGCAGAGTAATTTCAGACTCAAGTCATTTTGCAATTTCAACATCTTTACAATTAGTGAGAAAGGCTATTATTGCCCATTTGTTAGCAGTGGCATTATGACCCATCAATTAAAACAGATGTTCATCTTTGATAAATACAAAAATAATCCCATACAAGTAATGTGTCGAGTAACTAGTCAGGCATGTAATGACAGGGTGGGAACATCCCTACCAACACATAGAAATGAAAATAACCTACTCACCTCAACTTTAGTATTTGTTAATGATTGCACACTTTATCAGAAACCTCTTAAGGCTCCAATTAAGATAATGTATTTATGTTTATGCTGATTAATACAAAAATAATGAATGAAGCTTTACTGTGAAAAAAAACTGACATTTATTTTTAAAGAGCAAAGCCACAGGCAGCTAACTAGCTTCTCAACTCAGTCTGTGAAGGAAATGAACAGCTTGAAGGCAATGATGTGATCGCATGTAAAACGGATGCTGGCATTAGCAAGAGTGGCAATAACAACATTAGTGGCAATAATGTTATCCAATAATCAGTATTTTTTCCATTTGTTCCAGGGGCACTTAAGTTATTAGGTCAAAAGGCCATTTAAGCCAATTATCACCAGTATGTTTTGCGCTCATATAATGGACACCTATAGGAAACAATTAGAAATGCCTGTAAAGAGGTTAATACATACATTGCTATAATTTAATGAGTATTTTACTTCTGATATGTTGAATTTCCTGAAATGTATTTTAAGTTATTTATCCAACCTCAAAACCACATTAGTTTAGCTCTTTTTCCTTTTCCTGTAACAATCAGGATGCAACAATAACACAAGTCTGTATCTCGCTGCCTTGCTTACAAAAATACCTAAACAAACCCCTTAGCATGTTACAGTGGTATTATGCCTGGTTTTCTTAGTGTTATTTTGTTAACAATTTAAGTATAGTACATGTTGTTCTTAAAGTTTACATATTTTTTAATTGAATTTAAGCAATTGTTGGTATATTGATCTTGTGTTTAATATAAAACTTAGATTTAAAAAATGTTTTTAGGTAGAGGCTTTAAATAAGCCCAATGGGTTATTTACCTCTGCACTGTTGTTCGCATGTTATCTGTTATGCTTGTGTGTTATTGTTGGATTGTGCACAACCATTAAAACCTAAAATAAAAACTTAAAATCTAAAAAATCATTAGCTTCTCAAAGGTAAACAAAAAAAAGCAGTAATACCAGAATCAACTTTATGTGCTATACGTACCAGCATAGCCAGTATATGCGAGACTACAGGGAGCTAACATGTTAAGCCGACGCCCTTTAGTACTCTGTGTGACCTCCACAATCAACATGCAGCCGTAATCTTTCATCAGCAACACTTTCATCAGATTGCTCTCCTGTTACATACAGTTGATTGCCTCCTTTTGCATTTTCATCAGCATATGACTGTGGGTTTAGCCTCATCATGCTCGGACTACATCATTTCCCCTATTCTCATAGAGGAGGGAAATAATGGTTCTGTGTCATTTATTTGCAACATATTCTGATTAATAATGTGTCTATTCATTTTATTAAATGTGTGATGTGTGATATGAACAATGTTGTTTTAACTATGTAAAATGGCCGCATTGAATTCAATGAAATTCCAGGAAAGGAGGCAATGCAAGTTTATTGATAAAGCACTTTTCAACACAAGGCAGTTCAAAGTGCTACAAAAATGAAAGACATTAAGAAAATGGCATTTAAAGACAGGCATTAAAAAGCAAAGATAATAAAAGAAAAATCTAAAGGAAAAAACATGAATAAAAGTTAAAGTGCAGTTTAAGATACGAATAGTTCAATTAAAAGCAGTGGCAAAAAGAAAAGTCTTCAGCCTGGATTTAAAAGTAGTAAGAGTTGCAGCGGACCTGCAGGAGGATTTGTTTGTAAATAATGTGAAGGAAGGTTAACTATTCCTTTACCTTTGCTTTTATAATGATGAATCAATTTGAAATTTCCATTCTCTAGGTACACAACAGTTTTCTCTCTATCCTGTGTGGTGTTGTTTTTCCTTTATTATTCTTTCACCGGCATTGCTGAGCCCAAGAGGGCACTGTTTGATGTCGGAATTGGTATCTTGCCACAGAGGTGGGAAATAGGAAATTAGATTTGTGGCCTCTCTAAGGTATTGGCCTGATGGTGGCAGCAAGTTAGTCTCAACTTTGCTCTGCATGACACTGCCTGGTATTTTTTAATATTACGTTTCCCTCATCTGATTCAAAGCAGCAGAGACTTTAAAGTACGTATACCACCACAACACCAGTGCAGAGTAGAGACCCTGCTGCGATGATGCTACTATGTCCCCAATGCTTCCTGACATTTATAACTTTTTAAAATGTAAAACTTATTTTATTCTCTGCCACAGTCAAGTGCTATAAAGGCCATTATATTCTGGAGCATAAGTGCGTGAACTAAACAAAAACATCTTAGGACATTATGTGTTTTTCTTTTCTGCCAGCTTTTGGTAAACAAAACAATAAATGACTAAAAAATGGGTAACAACAAGAAGGAGCACGCAACAAAATGGAGAAAATGCATGTGATTGGAAAGTAATAAAAATGATTGACGACAGAAATATCAGTGATGAATGATGATGAGTCCCGTTAGTATTCTTGAGGGGCAGAAGACTCCAAAGACAGAGCCAGTAATCCATCTCAAAGCAGTACACTGCCATCGATTGGTACATTTGCTTTTTGTAGCATATAACTATTTCTATCTGTTGAAATGTATTATGTTCAGTACATACACTGAACAAAAATATAAACGCAACACTTTTGTTTTTGCTCCCATTTTTCATGAGATGAACTCAAAGATCTGATGTTTCAGATCTTTGAGTTCATCTCATGAAAAATGGGAGCAAAAACAAAAGTGTTGCGTTTATATTTTTGTTCAGTGTATGTACTGAACATAATACATTTCAACNGTATACATACATAAATATGTTTCCCCGGTGTGTCAGGGAACTCACGCAGCGTCAGAAAATAAAACCCTCTCTCTTTTCCTCCGTACCCAAATCTCTAAAAACGGGGCTACAACGGCGCTGATCCAGATTTGAGTCCGATGTGACGTAATATCTGAAATGTGGACCCACGGCCCTATCAGAAACGTTGCTATCAGAAACAATGCCCGACTGTTTTGGACGTAATATGGTAGGATGTTTACATTAGCATCGCTAACACTCAGAGCTAACCTGTACTGGAGAGCATGTGTGTGAAGAAGCAGGAAATAAAAAGGAACTCACCTTGTGGTATAACCGGCAAGAGAGAAAGCCTTTGAGCTCCATACTGTTTCAGAAATAATCCTTGATAATCCATGATATGGCCTTTCATCACGGCAGTATTTACTTTAGACAGTAGCTGCCGGGTCCCGCATGAGCTCAGCCCCCTACTTTTTATTTTAATTTTAAAGCTTTATACCCCAAATCAGCGCTTTTGAAACAGGAAGTGAAATAGAGGGATATGAGGCATGGCTAGAATGGGTGATCTGTTTGGTATTTTGAGCAAAACACTTCATAGACATGTTTTTTATATATTTGTATATATCTGAGACCTATGCTAATGCCTACAAATAGCATGATAGGTGACCTTTAACTAAAAAATAGCAAAGAAATGTCACACGACAAAGGTTAGAAAAGTACAATATATTTGAATTAAAAATAAAAGAGCAGTGTTAGTGTTGTGCATGGCTGTGAATGAGTGTGAGCAAAGGTTCACCTCCGCCCCAGGAGAGAGGCGCTCCACGTTCACAAACACGGCGTTGATTCCTGCTGTTTGTCTGATTTTGTCTGAGGAGGAAGTGAAAGCTGTCAGATGTTTTACTTCCCAGATTCACAGAGCGTACAGAGGGAGCAGATGTTACCTGCCAGAAGCTGGAAGTTCCCTTTTCCAAATATCTTCTTCTTCTCTGGAGTTTTGGTGGAGAGGACGATCTTATCAACGACCCTCCAGTTTTCCAGCGTGTTCACCAGACCCTCGGCCTCCGCCATCATCAGCCCAGCTGCACAGAGAACAAGATCATACTAAAACCCCACAGTAGTACACTCAATGCTGTAGAGATACAATCATTAGCTGTTAAATCAACATCTAAATCTATTCTGAGGTTTTCTTTGTTTTAAAAGGAAAATAAACATCTGGTTCTTCCAATGGGAAATATTTTGGTTTCTTTTACTCTTCTATCACAGTGAAAATAATATTTTTGAGAGATTATGGGACATTTTTTGGCTTTGGAAAACACTGATACCAGAGTAGTGGTTCTCAAATGGGGGTGCGCGGACCCCTAGGGGTACGTTGGAGTACTGCAGTGGGTATGTGAGATTTATTTTATGTAATGAAAATAAATAAAAAAATACCAATTTTCGGAAAAGTAACGAAGTTTGAGCAGTGTGGGTTTTATATTAACAGTTACACATATTTCAAAACGCGAAGTGTAATAACTGCAGTGGCCTTCCTGTCACTGAGAATAACAAAGGTCCTCAGTGAAGCACAAGCCCATGTTTCTCACTACATGGTAAGTACAACTTATTAAAAAGATCAGTTCAATGTAACTAATGTCCTCTTAGTGCATGATGTTAAAATTGGTTTGCCATGAATTTAGTGATGGATTGTAAACATTTGAAATGTAGCATTTAAGTGTTTTTCAGTTACAAGGTTGTTGTTTTAATAAATCAGACACCGATGGTGCAGCGCTGTACTGTACTTCTTTATATAGGCATCTTCCCTAACAAATAGTTTTTGCGCTGATCAGGGGGTACTTGGCTGCATTTTTTTTCCAAAGGGGGTACATTATTGAAAAAAGTTTGAGAATCACTGCCATAAGAGTACATAATCTCCCCCCACCTCTGTGAGCAGTTACCTGTGGTCTTCAGGTGCTGCTTCCTGCTTCCCCCACTTCACATCAGGATGGCCATTGATGAACACTTTGGAGCTGCTGACCCGGAGCGAGGGCCTGCAGCGAGCGTAACCAGGAACAGCTCCTCCACCTCCCCGTCATCCAGGGAGATCCTCTTCATCTTCCATCCCCTTCCTCTCCTCCTGCTGACCTCTGACCCTGAACTCATCAGAGTCCCGCCCCCTTGCAGGAGGAGCGCACAGAGCAAAGCCTCTGAGCAGGCTTCCTGCGGCTGCTCCCTGGCACTGAGAGGAGCTTCTGTGTCCTGTGTATTCGAGGCAGATTTGACACACTTTATTAAATCACACACAATGGGAAAAATCGTCCGTTTCATTCTTGTTGTGTGTGTGTGGTGTGTGTGGTGTGTGTGTGTGTGTGTGTGTGGTAGCGACAAAACTCCCATTGAGTTTATGCTGCTGAGAGGCTAACGTGTCTCCTCACTTTGACGCGGCTACAAAGAAGAGTTCCGTGCTGTCGTTGTGGTTGTTGTTGTTCATGATGTTTAATGGAGACATAATAACATAAATAATCTTCTTTGCAGGACCCAACATATCCCTACGCTCACCCTCTTTGGCTTCCACAACACGCCCTCGGCACACAACAGGTGGGAGTAAATACCTTACACCACAGACAGGTGATAACTTGCCGGAAGGTGGACCCAATTTATAACTTGTGTCTTGTAAACACATAATTAATCACTACAATAATAAACAATGGCAAAAATAAGCATGTTGGGTCCTACACACTGTGGGTATTTACATTTCTAATCACTGTAATGGTAGGTAATAGGAAATGAAGGGAACATCTTAAATAGGCATAGTGCAGAAATAGATTTCAGGAATAGAAAACAATTAAATAATACAGTATTTTTGAAAATGTACTTATTTTGCTTTTCGTGGAAACAGAAGAAAGGTAGCATTTGAATATCAGATTTCCACACATACACAGGACTCATATATATTTTGTTTGGTTTACATACATTTTTATTAAGGGTTTTACATTTACACATTTCACATTTACACAGTGACCCTGTATGAAATGTTCCTACCCTGCAACCTGAAGCAGTGTGCAACGGCGGCTCGGTGTGCGCCGAGGTGGGTCCCTGCAGCAGAGGGAGGGGGGGCAGGCGGGAAGAAGATCCTTCCTCAGTGCTGTCATTATGACATTTTATATAGTCAACCTTTATATATTCATATCTATAGTAAACTCATAAACAAACGCTCAACAGAAACATGTGCTACTTCACAGCCATTTTAGAGCATGGCGCAGTGGGGGTGTTTCTTCTTCTTTGTGGATGACAGTAACCTGGCAGAGGCCACACTTGCTACCTGCTGAGGAGGAAGGTATTTGCTGGATATCATGTGTTGGTTTTGGTTAATTAATAATTACAATTTTTTTTAAAATTTCACTTAAGAAAATGTATTATTTATTAATAGTAGGATGTATTTATTGGAAAAATATAATGTTATTGTTTTTCTATGTATTTAACAAGAACCCCATAAACATCAACAACAACAACAACAATTATATGAAATTAAATAATAGACATGCCAGAAAGATCCTGATGAATGATTATAAATAAGGCTAAGGCCTAAACCTTAATGACATGTTTTTTAACGATTTATTATCATAGTTCACAAAAGTGTAGGTGTTATATTATTTCAATATTAAAGGTTCTGGTGGCAGTAAATAATTGACATTAATATTCAGAATAAAAAGTCAATCTAAAAACAATGTTATCTTTTAGCTTTGGGATCATCTACATCCAATGCAAAGAAAGTGGGTAATATTGTGGAAGTACAACACGGAGTCCGGAAATACAGAATTTACTTTTTAGAATAGTTTTAAGCATTACGACCTTGGCCAATTATAGAATAATGTTGAAATAAAATACGTATCTTGATTGATATTTTGTAAATTGTTTTTAAAATTCATTTTTAGTTGTTGCAAAAATACAATTTGAAAGGATTAAATTTTGTCATTTAAATATCAGACTGTGATGTGCACGTTAGTTCATCTCGTGCATCATCACCATGATTATTACGCAGCGCATGGGTGTGGCCGCGCGTGACGTCAAAACGACGTCAGACAGGTAGACAGAGCTCCATATACATGCCTTTCCAGATTATGGCGATGGCACACTGAGAGGATTTACAGGTTGTTTCTGTGAGTGAACATACATGCTAACAGTTTATGGTATCATTCATTATCAAAGGTATTTATTTAAAGCGAGCTCTGGGAATGGGACCAACAAGCTGCAGCATGCTGGACTTGACCTTCACACTGAGGGAAGGCGTGTGTGTAATCACCTGAAAATAGGGGAAGTGAATCTTCCTCTTGTGAATGGACCTTACTACGTTTTCCCAGTGTAAAGAGGAAACTATTTCCGGAGGTGGTTCTTTGGTGCTTATCTCCCGGACTGTCCCTCAGAGGGAGATGCCCAGCTGCGGGCTGGAGGGGACTCTGTTCTGCTGCTGCTGCTGGCTGCTGCTGCCTGTCTGCTGCTGGGCGGGGGTGAGCTTTCTCATATATATATTCAGAGGTGGGAAGTTACATAAGATGTACTCAGAAGTCCATTAAGTCAAATGTATGTGAGGTTTCACATTTACTTTGAGTTTTCACTATGTTGCTAGCTTTTCTGAGGTAAAAAGTGTACTTTATACTCCACATACAATTTAATACCTTGTAGTTAACTTTACAGATGGCTATGAATGATTGAAATATAATCAAGTGTTAAACTCAGACTTTGGTTACACTGGAGTAATTCACAAGCTACCCTGCCATAACAAGAGGTCATGTCAAACTACTGCCTTTAGGCAGCTTGAGAACACTTTAATGATCAATCATTATTAAACATACTATATTATTCTGAAAATTGAGCATCTGCACAATACTACTTTTACTTTGGTACTTAAAGTATATTTGATTGCTGTACTTTTGTTACTTTTACATTGAGTAACATTTTGATACATACTTTTACTTGAAACAGAGGTATTCTACTTCTACTTTTTACTCATACAAGATCTGAGTACTTCCTTTCCAGCCTCTGATTATATTATATACCATATTATGTTATAATTGTATTATTTATCTATATTATATTCAGTATTATATAATCTGTATTTTACTGTTATGTCATTGTTTTATGTTTTACATCATTCTCAAATGGAGCAACTGAAGTGAAATTCCCCACAGAAAGGAAAGATATTTTATATAGATAATTGTTAATGCTTTTCTTCAAATTAATTCCCCAGAGGAAGGAGTGTAATGCTGAGGTTTGGTGAGGCCGTTGCCCATCTCACCTCTCCTGTTCCTCCCCCAGTTGTTGACCTCCGTGAACCTGTCCATCGCGTGCAGGCTGGGGGACGGAGTGTGCTGCTCCCGTGAGGAGGAT